CAGAAGAAATGAGGTAATAAAGATCGAGTAGAAATCAATGAAACAGAAAACAAAAACAGTAGAGCAAATCAATGAAACCAAAAGCTGGTTCCTTGAGAAAATTAATAAAATTGATATACCTCTAACCAGACTGATCAGAGAAAAAAAAATAGAACACAAACATCTAATACCAGGAATGAAAGAGGAACTATCACTACAGATACTATAGATACATAAAAGAAAGAAAACATTATGCCTTTGTCAATAAATTTGACATCATAAATAAAATTTTAAAATTCCTTGAAAGATACAACCAAAGTTCACTCAAGAGGAAATGGATAACATGAATAGCCTTATATCTTATTAATGAAATGGAACTTGTAGTTAAAAACATTCCTACAAAGAAAGTCCTAGATGGTTTCATTGGTAAATTCTACCAAATATTTAGGGAAGAGATCATAATGATTTTACCCAAATTCTTCTGGAGGAGAGAGAACACTTCATAACTCATTTTATGAGGCCAGCATTGCCATGTAACCAAAAAAGACAAAGATGTCATAAGAAAACTATGAACCAATTATTGTCATGAACTTAGGTGCAAAATCATAAACACGATTTTAGAAAGCTGTATCCAACAAAAAATAATAATACAGCATGACCAAAGTGAGGTCAATTCAAGGAATGCAAAGATGCTATAACATTTGAAAATCAACCAATATAATGCAGCACATTAACAAAACAGAAAAGAGAAACTATATGATTACATCATATCTTCAAAATTCATTTTTGAAAAAACTCAGCAAACTGAACAGAAGGGAACTTCTTCAACCTGATAAAGGGCTTCTCTGAAAAATCCTATGGCTAACACCGTTACTTAAGGAGGAAAGACTGAATAATTAAACAAAACTTACATTTCAAAATGAGCCATTTAAAACAAGACATTTAAAAATACTAAAATATGTGAAAGAATGACACAAATCAAAATTAGAAAAACTGAGAAATGAACTGACAGAAATCAAAGAATTTGAAATAAAACAATAATTTCAGACATAAAAATTAAAGTAGAAGGAATATGAGGAAATTAACTCATAATAATGCCTTAAGAGCTATAAAAGGTGAAGAGATGATAGCCGGGTGCGGTGGCTCAAGCCTGTAATCCCAGCACTTTTGGAGGCTGAGACGGGCGGATCACGAGGTCAGGAGATCGAGACCATCCTGGCTAACACGGTGAAACCCCATCTCTACCAAAAAAATACAAAAAAGTCAGCCCGGGCAAGGTGGCGGCCATCTGGTAGTCTGCGCGCTATGACTACTCGATGATGAGGCTGAGGTCATGATATGGCGTAAAACCCCAGGCGAGCGCGGGAGCCTTGCAGTGAGCTGAGATCCGGCCACTGCACTCCAGCCTGGGCAACAGTGCGAGACTCTGTCTCAAAAAAAAAAAAAAAAGAAAGGTGAAGAGAAGAAACTTTTAGGAATAAAAAAAATAAGATAAAAAGTATTCAAGAGAAAGTGATACGTTTATAACCTATCAAAACTTATAACACTTTTAACAGCAACCGTTCTGAACAGAAGTAAAACAAGTACTCAACGCAAAAAAATAAAAGAGACTGCCAGGTGTGGTGGCTCACACCTGTAATCCCAGCACTTTGGGAGGCAGAGGAGGGCGGATCATCTGAGGTCAGGAGTTCGAGACCAGCCTGGCCAACATGGTGAAACCCCATCTCTACTAAAAATACAAAAATTAGCTGGGCATGATGGCGGGCACCTGTAATCCCAGCTACTCGGGAGGCTGAGGCAGGAGAATCGCTTGAACCCAGGAGTTGGAGGTTGCAGTGAGCCAAGATGGCACCATTGCACTCCAGCCTGGGCAACAAGAGCAAAACTCCGTCTCAAAAAAAAAAAAAAAAAAAAAAAGAAAGAAAAAGTAAAAATGAAAGAGACAAGAATTTTACATAGAGCCAACCTCACTTTCAAGTAAAAGGTGACAAAACAAACTGTGACAAACACATCAGAATTGAAGGAACTCTCTTGTAGAACAAGACTAAAATAACCAAGATAACTAGGAGATAACGACATAAAGACTGCTGATAAATAAATGCGTATTTGTTCACATAAAAACATGAAATAAGGTTGATAAGGCAGAAAGTATAGTATGCAATACTCCATGTTCTGACAATATAGATATAGAATTAGTTTAAAAATGGGTGAAGAGAATGAAAGAAGGATATGCAAAAAAATCTTTATTTCTCATAATCATGTGCGTAATGCAGTATAGCAATTCTCATGCATACACTTTGGGAGAAGGCAACTGGATATGTGATATTCTATCATCCCCTGGCTTCTTGAGACCCAAGAGAAACAAACAAACAAAAAAGAGTTAAGTAAAAACCCTATATTCTTGAATTTGATTTGGAAATATCCATCAGAACTTGTGAGCTAGTTTACCATAAATGCATGCACACACACACATACACACACACACACATATTTTCATGGTAGATTTTTAATGAGAGAGAGCCTGCACCCTATGATATTTCCTACCTCTGTCCACTAAGAAGGCCTAGAAACAATGACCTACTCAGTAGCAGTGAGTATCCTTGGGTCCCAGACTGCGGTCTTAAAACACCGTTTCCCCAGTGAAGGCGAGGAGGGTGTCTTGCAGGAATGGCTTCCTCCAGGGTTTGGACAGAAGTCCACAAGAGAGACCTGGAAAAACCTGTCATACATGACACAAGTGTGCTATCAGACCACCAGGGTCACGTCAGAGAACTCAGGAGAACCCTAAAGAGGCTCCCCTGGTCAACAAAGAAACAGTCTGAGAATGAGTAAAGATAATAATTTCAATTAACTTGAAATACACCCAAAATGTTTAAATCCCTATGCTCCTAATGAAACTTAAACACACACATACACAGCCCAAAGAGCCCACATTTGGAAGATGACAGGGAACCAGTTCATTATTTGTAAAACTTGCAAATAAAGAGGTAAATCAACACTTACTTAACTTTTCCTAAATGAACTCTAGATGACGGATTAGAATGTGACCACTTTGCAATCCCTATTGAATTAACAGATCCATCATAAGGCACTGAAGTCTAGTACCATAAAGAGAGACATTACATGCCTTTTAATGAAAGAACAACACTATAGACTTGCCAAAGTGATCAAGCCTGAAGCAATCCAAGTTTCAGATCCAGTTTCTAATATATTAAGCTATGCCATGAGACAAAGGAACATGCTTAGCTACACCACAAGAACTCAAAAAGCAAAATCTGGACCATGAAATCCTCCACATGTTCTATGACTCCGGTTCTTCAACAAATAAATTTCATGAGGATAAAACCAGGCAGATACGCAGGAAACTTGTAGCTAAAAAGAGAAACTTAAGTGATGAAACCATAAAGGAATGCTGGAAAGTTACCATCATAGCAATCAAGACAGTCATTATTGTTTTAGGGCAGTACAAGGGAGTGCTTTGGGACGGGTCACATGGAGGGCTTCTACACTTGCTTAGAAAGTTATAATTTTGATATAATGGTAGTTTAAGAATGTTGGCCACATAATACATAACACAGTCAGCCCTCCACATCCATGAGTTCTAATCGCTACAGATTCAACCAACAGCAGATAGAAAATATTTGAAATAATAATAATAATACAACAGTTTAAAAAGTACAAATGAAAATACAGTATACAACTATTTGCATAGTATTTATATTGCATTAGATGTTATAAGTAATCCAGAGATGATTTAAAGTATATAGGAAGATGTGCATAGGTTATATGTAAATAGCACACCATTTTATATAAGAAACTTGAACATCTGCAGATTTTAGTATCCACAGGGGATGGGGGTGTCCTGGAATCAATCCCTGCAGACACTGAGGGGAGATTGTACTCATCAGTATTAGCCAGCACTAAGTCAGCACACAAAACATTTGCTTTATGCAGTTTTTATCTGTACTATATTTCAAAATAAAAAAGTTTTCATTAAAAGAGGTAGATGAGCACACTATCAGGAGTCCTCTACTCTGTAATGGTGAAACAGTTGGAAAGAAAGAGCATTTTTTGGGGGGAGAGAAAGAGGAGGGATTAATTACTATGAAGGAAAAAGGATATGGAAGGCAAAAACGTTAAAACATAAGGGCAATCCCAAAAGATTAAACCACTGCACCATACATGGAAAAGTGCTGTATTTTGGCATTACTGTAGTTGGTACATTTCTGATCAGGGTGGAGATGGGAGGTACAGGAGAATATTCTAGGTTCTGGCTTACAGATATCAGAAATATGACTACAGTGTAATAGAACTGATTTACTAAACCACCCTTCCAAACACATATCCAGAAAATGTCATTCCATGTAGTTCCTGTGAGCAGACTACACACTTATTCTAATTATCTTGCCATTGCTCAAAGTAGTTTGTAACTACACTTTCTAAACTGCCTTCAGAAATAATTTAGTTATAGGTGCAAAACAATTGGTCTTACGACTTTACTGTCACACCATCATTTGAGCAAGATCTGTATCACCCAGCCCAATCACACAAAACATTCACAAAATTTTGGTCATTTCCAAAAATCAAATCCACTCTGGAAAGGCAAAGATTTGCCACCAGTGAAGACATTCTAAAGAATGTGCCGTATCTGTGAAGGAAACTCAGAGGAGTTCCAAAAATGTTTTGGGCAGTGGCAGTGTCACTGCAATGAGTACTTAACCTCCTCAAGTGACTTAGGAGAAAGAAGTCGTTTTTATCATAAAATGGGATATGTTTAAAGTAAGTCTTATTACTTTATGATAATTTTTAAATATTTACTTGGGCATTGTCTTAAAAAGAAAAACTTCCTACTATAATATTTTTCAAGGATAAGATAGATAAAAAGGTTTGCTTGGGAAGAACTGTGTCATGTTGAATGATAATCAGGAAAGGGCCTATTTATTCTGTTATACCTGTTTTAGACAGGAAAACATGCTATTTGGTAGGTTAAAAAAGACCAGCTTTATGAACTAAACACTTACCCATGTCATTAACAAAGATGAAGAATAATAAGAAGATAAGCACATTAAATTTCCAAACATCAAAATGAAACTAAGGATAACTGAAATCTGAAAAAAAGTGAAAAAAATACATTTTATGGTTATTACATATATCAGCATAATGCATACTTTGTAGGTATATAGCCATTTCTAATGCAAATGTATTTGCATAAAGATGAATGACTCTTGGCCAAATGACAATAGAATTTCAAGTCACTGCTAGATTCTAAGTATTAAAATTCAAGACTATAAACTCTATCTGGCAGAATTTAACTTTTTCTCCATCTGCTGCTTGGAACAATGAAAAATAAGTCTATGATTTCTGTTGTTTTATCAATGGAGTAATATAACAAGAAAGACTTAAGTTATAAATACTAGTTTTACTAATCTTATTTTTGTTAGACTTCAGGACTTCTATTATTTATGAAGCTTTACTAACTTTTTATGTTTTTAAGGAAGCTATGTTTGGGACCTAAGCCAAAAACAAAATTGCAAGAATATAAAATTTCAGTTAGAGTGTCATATTCAGGCAAAATGCTAAAAATCTCATGTCTGAGAAAGAAAAGGCAGTTTTAAAAGCAGTAATAATAATAATAAATAAAACATAAAAATAAAAGTTTTAGAGAGCAAAACACATATACAGTCTACTTGAAACTATAATCTGTTATAATATGACATCTATAATATACATTTCCAGTTTTCCTTCTGGGTATCACCAATAGCATATGTATTAAATATTACCAAAGAGGAGGTACCCTATAAAACAGAATCACTTTGATTTTATAAACTCTGAGGACCTATCTTAATATTTGACTTATATATATTAAAAATGTTAGTTACCATGTTCACATAAATGATCTTCCGAAATTTGCTTGGTTTAATGTATCCCACAACATACATGGGAAATAATGATGCTATCTGAAATAATATAAAAAAGCAAAAGTGAAAAAAAGTATAGAAAACTAACACTTTACTATTCACAGGCAAAGTAAATATAAGAGAAGAGCTACAGTTCTAATAATGGTAAGCAAAGGAATTTGAACCAGCCTTCCCACTAAGAACTAGAATGGCTAAGAAAAATATAAATATATAAATAAAAATATTTTTAAAATATGTATAAAAGCCACAGATTATTAACAAAGCAAATGAGGAATTAAAAAGATAGATGGCAATCTATAGTGATGAGCATGACGTTTTGGGCCACTTTTCTCCCAGAGGTATCTGCCAATTTCAACAGAGGCAGATGCCTGCCAGCTGAGAGGCAGCTGGGAGACCAGCAAGCTGAGCAGGCATTTCAGCAGATTCAGCAGTCAGAGTGCACCAAGAATGGTGCTTTAGTTTGGAGTTTCAAAAGGCCATACTATAATAGTGAACCAGAAATCAAGCAGCCCTCAGAAAGACAGAAACCCATCTATGGATCATCTCAATCTGATTGCATGAAGGTGGTTCAAGATTTATTAGTGCTTTTTACTTGCCTCTCCAATTTTTCATGTATAATGTCCAGCACCAAATCAAAAATAACCCAGCATAGATGGAGATAAGACACTATCACTAACACAATAAATAGATCCACAAAAGATTTAGATCAGGGACCAGCACATTTGTTATATAAAAGGCCAGATAATAAATATGTTATGCTTTGTTGGTCACATACAGTCTCTTGTATATTCTTTTTCTATTTTTGTTCTATAACCCTTTAAATATATAAAAACTATTCTCAGTTTGGAGATCACTCAAACGCTTAATCAGATATGTCCTTAGTTTTGCTTCAAATGTTCCAGGAAATAACTGATAGGATTGAAAATTCCAGGAGAGCACAGAAGTCATTAAAAAAAAAAAAAAAGGGTCAGGCATGGTGTCTCACGCCTATAATCCCAGGATTTTGGGAGGCCAAGATAGGAGGACTGCTTGAGGCCAGGAGTTCAAGAGCAGCCTGGGCAAGATGGTGCTACCTCATCTCTACAAAAAATTAAAAAATTAGCCAGATGTGGTGGCACAATGAACTAAGTTTAACCTTAATCTATGAAAAACACAATTAAGAATAAAATCTTAAAGTACTCCCAGAATATAACAAATAACATTGAATTATCCCTCTGTAAGCATGAAATGCACACATACAAACAAAACTATACACATTAGTAAAGAAAAACAAAAGCCTAGTATATATCCAGAGAATGACTAGAAAATCATTACAGCAATACCAAACTTACCCAATAGCTTCTTCTTCTTCTTTTTTAACTGAGTCTCGCTCTGTCACTCAGGCTGGAGCGCAGTGGTGCTATCTCGGTTCACTGCAACCTCCGCCTCCCCCCGGGTTCAAGCAATTCTCTGCCTCAGCCTCCCCAGTAGCTGAGATTACAGGCACCCGCCACCATGCTCAGCTAATTTTTTTGTATTTTTAGTAGAGACGGGGTTTCACCATCTTGGCCAGGCTGGTCTTGAACTCCTGATCTCATCATCCACCCGCCTCAGCCTCCCAAAGTGCAAGAATTACAGGTGTGAGCCATTGTGCCCAGCCCCAAAGAGCTTCTTAGTTTCATCAGTATCACTGCATTAATAAATTTGCTTGCAATGAAGTGCTGCTCATTAAAAATCGATTCTACTCTGTTGGCATGTGCAAATAATGAAAACCATAGAATAATGTCTGTGTTATAACCTGAAAGGGGCCAACTATCATGAAGTAAAACAGAGGGAATACTTTAAACATGCAGCACCAATTGAGCTGGGGTTATAATTTCATTCTTTGTAGGCTACTGGCAGCATGAGACTTCTTAGCAGAATTTCTCACTTCCAATATAGAATATTATTACTATCATCAGTATTTGTTATGCAGGAAGGAGCTCTGATGGAAAATCTTAGTATCATGAAATTTCCTCAAAATTCTCCATTTACTCTCTGCTTCCCCAGTTCAGTTTCTTGGTACTAGTTATGTAGTTGCTTTAGAAACAGGATATGGGCTCAGCTCACTTAAGCAATGATGAGCTTTATGATTAAAGCTCGCAGAAATGCTGCCAGGTAAAATTCTGCTCCACACACAAAACAGCCAACATTTAGCTGGATTAGAAGCAGCACGTCCTGCTGTGAAGAGTAGGATTGGCCCTTAGCATGCTGTGTAGCTTGGCACCCAGAATGAACACCAGGACAAAAGGAAAATCTATAGGTAGATATATACAGATAATATCTCAAACACCAAAAATAACATTTGTGAATAAAAATAATAGAAAAACTCTTTCACATGTCGAGGCTTAAAATCTGTCAAACTAATCAATACAATAAAAGAATGTGGAATTATATTATTTCATAAAAATCATACCTTTAAGTAAACTTTATTCCTTATTTTGAAAATTTTAGGGCATAAATATAACATATTTTAAAATTTCTATGGAAACAACCAAGTACATTTTGCATTCAACTTAATTAATACACGCAAAGGAATATAAATCATTCTATTACAAAGACACATGGGTTCACTGTAGCACTACTGACAATAGCAAAGACATGGAATTAACACAAATGCCCATGAGTGACAGACTGGATAAAGAGAATGTGGTACATATACACCATGGAATACCACACAGCCATAAAAAGGAACGAGATCAGGTCCTTTGCAGGGACATGGATGGAGCTAGAGGCCATTATTCTCAGCAACAGGAACAGAAAACCGAACACCACATATTCTCACTTATAAGTGGTTGCTGAACAATGAGAATACATGGACACAGTAAGGGGAACAACATACACTGGGGCCTGTCGGGGGATGGGGTGGGGAGAGCATTAGGAAAAATAGCTAATGCATGCTGGGCTTAATACCTGGGTGATGGGTTGATAAATGCAAAAACCACCATGGCATGCATTTACCTACGTAACAAACCTGTACATCCTGCACATGTACCCCAGAACTTAAAAATAAAAATTAATTTAAAAAATCATCTTACCTGTGTAAAAAGAATAAACTGAGCAAATTGCCAAGGAAGCATAAAAGCCACATTGGAAAGACAGAGTGCAATGAAGGGCCTTCTATCATTGCTCGAGGTCCTTAATAGAGAGAATTGATACCAATAAGTTTCACCCTAAAAACAGGCTGTCATTAAAAAGAAAGACTAATTGCAAAATGATAAAATCTAAATTATTCCATTACCTTTACTATAATACAACAAAATATAGTTAACTTTTTAAAACATACTAAAAAGAAATTGAAATACTTCATGCCTTGCATGAAGCAATCAAAATTAGAGTTTTAAAAATAACATTGTAATTTACCATTAAATATTTTAAATACAAAAGCTCATCTTCCTCTACATATGCATGACATTAGAAATTTAATACTCCAGCAAGGAGGTCAGAAAATAGGACGCGGCGCTGCCCCTGCACACCTCAACATGCTTCTCCTGTATGTGCAGCAACAACTTTATATACCACCACTTTTATGTTTCAAAAAACATTGAAAAGAAATGTAAGTGCTGACAAAGTAGTAAGTTAACAACTGTGGAAAAATTTAAGGAAAAAGAATCTTAAAAAATTAAAAAATGATTCTAGAATTCAGCTGAAGCATGTGGAAGTTTAAATTGTCCATTTCAATTACTGAGATGTACTGGGAACCAATATCTTTTACCACAGAGAATTACAGTAACTTTTGGATATGAAAAAAGAAATGCAAACATTTTACCTAAATAATAAAACTGTAACTGTTCCTTTTATAAATGCTGTATTGGATTTTGATGAATCTTTGTACAATCATATATAAATTTTCAAAAACAAAATTCTAAATGTTCATATTGTTTACTGTTATCATAAAATACTCATTATGTACTTTGTAATCTTATATTTTTCAAACAAAAATTACTTTTGTCTAAGATACAGAGTATAGCACATGCCCTCAATGATACAACCCCAAATGTTCTAATTAAAGCATTTTATTCCATGAAACCCCTGACTGACCAGACTGATATCACTTCAAAAAAATATAACCACCTTCCTAGGAATTAAACTGGGAATGAATAGCAAGCGGTGATGAAGAATGGGCAGCTTCCATCACCTAATCTTTGAGAGAAGGCAAAGTGTAGAGCAAAGATACAGAGATCTGAATGAGGAGGAAGTTCCTAAATCCAAATTTAACCCCAGAATATACTCGTCAGGTTGGTAAGAAATCAGAAGTTAGCCTGCTCCATTCCCAAGGTTTGTGCCACCCCAGTACACTACTATTTACCACTCTTCAATTAGCTTTATCTGAGTGCCACAAATATTTGTATGGACGTGTGCAGTGTTCTGTGGTTAAAGAGATAAATATGGCATGGTCCCTGTTTCCAGTAGTACTTTTAAATACATATAATTGGCTGGGCACAGTGGCTCATACCTGTAATACCAGCACTTTGGGAGGCTGAAGCAGGTGGATCACTTGAGGTCAGGAGTTTGAGACCAGCATGGACAACATGGTAAAACCCTGCCTCTACCAAAAATACAAAAATTAGCTGGGGGTGGTGGCGCACGCCTGTAATCCCAGCTACCTGGGAGGCTGAGGCAGAATCGCTTGAACCCGGGAAGCAGAAGTTGCAGTGAGCCGATCGTGCCACTGCACTCTAGCCTGGGTGACAGAGCAAGACTTCATCTCTAAAGAAATAAATAAAAATTTGTGTATGTGTGGATAATTCATAAATTTACTGTTTTAAAAAACAAGGAAGACAAATAAATGATTTTTATATAAGGCAGAATCTGCCAGGGATTAGTGGGTGAAGAATGGGGTCCTCTGGGAGTTTGGAGGAGATAGTGATCATGATTTCATTCAGTGAGAGTTCTCATTAGTATTCCATCAAACTTATTTCTCTGATAAGGCTATTTATACTATTCTACCACTTATGGGTTTTTTTGTTCATTTCTCAGACCTCTTAAATATCTAAAATGCTTATAAATGTAATCCCTACAAAAAAAGTGTATTTAAAAAAAAAAAAAATTGAAATGAAACTGATTGCCCTGTTAGAAACATTGGTTGTTCAGAAATCCTTCATAAAAAAGTGAATATATGTACTCCTTATCCATCTAACTCCGCATTTCCCAAATTCGTTTGCACACAGAACACTTTTTTCATGGCACAGTCATCAAAACCACAGGTTAGAAAACAATGTCAGAGTACCTAAACTCTGAAGAGAAAATGTAATTGTTTCTCAAAAACTTTTGAATCTTGGCAAACTATACACAAACACATACCTTTTGGTTTATTAAAACATAATGTAGCTATCTAAAACCTGTAGCCTACACTCTTAAATGGACAGCCATTTTTACATAGCAATTTTGAATTATGTTCTTAACTCTATATTCAATTTACTTTTAAAATAACTAAAAAAGGTCTAAACTTGGTAATTACAACCTCATAGGTTGAAGTATATATATATATTTACAATTTTTTAGAGGGAGTCTTGCTCTGTTGCCCAGGCTGGAGTGCAGTGGCACAATCTCGGTTCACTGCAACCTCCGCCTCCCAAGGTCAAGCAATTCTCCTGCCTCAGCCTCCCAAGTAGCTGGGATTACAGGTGCACACCACCATGCCTGACTAATTTTTGTATTTTAGTAGAGATGGGGCTTCACCGTGTTGGCCAGGCTGGTCTCGAACTCCTGACCTCAAGTGATCTGCCCACCTCGGCTTCCCAAAGTGCTGAATTGAAGTATATTTTAAGAAAGTTAAATTATAATTTATTTGCCTTCATTTTATAAATCAAAGTTACCTGAGAATCAAAGTTAAAATATACATCTGAAGTACAAGGAATGGATAGGAAAAACTTTCACGGAGAGGTGGTGTCCACATCACACGGGTGGCCTGAAATCAACAAAATGCCCACTTTACATCATGTTTACTACAACAAACATATTTAAAAACCAGGGGTGAGTCTGTTTTAGTAAATTTAACACTAGGTTCACTATATCCCATTTCTGAGTGTCTGGCATAGCTTCTCAGTTTTTGAAGCTCTCTTAACACATGAGGCCATTAAGTAGAGAGCAATTAACTACCATGTCCAGAAACCAGCAACAGATATATCAGACCCAGCAAAAGGAAACCCAAGGGACAAATAAGATTGTACATATAAGAGTTGTGAGAATTCTGTGACTGACCAACTAGATCCACAGTCCAGCTCTGAAGGTATGATCCTGGCATATGATCCTGGCATCCCAGGCTTTGGGATATATGCATGCCAAGACAAATACCTAAACAAATGTCACCTAGATCATTCGCAAGCACCAAGAGAGTTTCTACATAACAAGTTTGAATGAATATAAATACACACTTCGAATAGCTAAGATTGCCTCAGAATTTGTAAAATGTACCTTAAAAAGGATTAAGTATGTATTTTAAAAACAACTAGAAGTATTTGGGAACTACAAATGTGATGCATGTAATGAAAGTATTAAATTTTCATACAAACTTTAAAATTACTTCTAAGACATATGGGTCAGAGTATTAGAAAAAATTTCCATCAAAAACTCTGAAATTCTAGAAAGAATGTGAACTCTTATTACTTTGCAAGAGTCTTAATTACTGCTCTTCTTCCAAGATATCAAAATTGTAAATGTTGAAAGAGGAATTATGATACATATAAGAAAGTCAACTTATACCAACCGTTGTCTCTCACACTCAAAGAAAAAGCTTTGTCTTTATATCAGCACATTGTTGAATGACAATGCATTTGTTTGCTTTAAAATAATATACATGACTTTTATGTATAATTTTTATGATTCCTTTATCTAACTGATTTTTAAAAATTAACCCAACAGCAATGGATACTTCTACCTGGCTGGGCGTGGTGGCTCACGCCTGTAATCCCCAGTACTTTGGGAGGCCAAGGGGGCGTGGATCATGAGGTCAGGAGTTTGAGACCAGCCTGGCCAACATGGTGAAACCCCATCTCTAGTAAAAATACAAAAATTTAGCTGGGTGTGGTGGCACATGCCTGTAATCCCAGCTACTCAGGAGGCTGAGGCAAGAGAATTGCTTGAATCTGGGAGGCAGAGGTTGCAGTGAGCCAAGATCACACCACTGCACTCCAGCCTGGGTGACAGAGCAAGACTCCATCTTGGAAAAAAAAAAGTACTTCTACCCTATGTAACTTGTGTCATACCTATTAAATATTTTGCTACCAAGAGCTAGTAGTCAGAATCTCTCTCTTTTTCATTGTCATATCCTCAGCATCTAACAGACCATGGACATAGTATGTACTCAATATTTTGCTGAATGAATCCACCGTATTTGAAATAAGCTTCTATGAGCTCTTTTTTAGGTGGACTATGTTTCATTGGGCTGAATTCGTTAAGTTAATGTCGATTTTGAATTCAGCATTTTGCATTACTGAACAGACAGCATGACGTAACAGAAAGAAGTAAGGGAGCAGGAGGCAGTGTCTTAACTGTGTCCCTGCTGTCAGGCTTGAGGCCTCTTTCATTGTTGTTAAGGGGAGTGCAATGCATACAAAGTTTCACTTAGGCAAGATGAGTAAGTCTAGAGATCTGCTATACAACATTGTGTTAATACTGTATTGTACACTTAAAAATCTGTTAAGAGGGCAGATCTCATGTTACTGATTCTTACCACAATAAAAAAGTTGAATATATATGTTATATATAACACATAATATATGTTTTTATAAAATATAATTTTATAATTTATAAAATATAAAATAATATATATATGTGAGATTTTAGAGGCAGACAGACATAGAATGGGAAATCCAGCTTCATCATGTAGTAAATATGGAATGTGGATAAGTAACTTAACTTTCTCTAAATTTAAATTTCATAACTTGTGACGAGTTGATGGGTGCAGCACACCAACAAGGCACAAGTATACATATGTAACAAACCTGCACGTTATGCACATGTACCCTACAACTTAAAGTATAATAATAATAAATTTAAAAAATAAATAAATAAATAAATAAATTTCATAACTTGTATGGTGAGGCTGCCACCACCCACAAAAAATGTTTAGTGGGAATACATCAGCTAATGTGCATGACATGATTCAACACAACAAGTATACTATTTCCTTTTCTCTACAGAATATATGTGCATGTATGTATTTACTAAAAATAAGGCAAGAGATTTTATGTTTGAAATTCTAGCTATTTAAACATTTCAATCAACATGATTAAAATATCAACTTATAACACAAGGGTCTTTAAAATATTGTGAAATCATAAGTAGTATATACAATTATATATTGTTTTGATGAGTATATTTCCTTGTTCCTCTGTAGCCCCTTCTATTTCTTAAAAATTGCTTTCTAGAAAACAAACCTCTCCATGGTTGAAAAAGAAGCACAGTACTGTAATAACACCTCCTAGTTGAGTCCCACTGTAAAAAAAAAAAAAAAAAAAAAGAGTATACGATCAAATTAAAACCATAGTTTAAATCATATTTAAAACATAATAGTACAAAACCATACCCATGTGGTTGATGTTTAAATCCTGAATGTACAATTCTAAAAAGTGTACATATAAATTAATCTCAATTTTATAATTTATCATAGCTAAAATACTTTCTAAATAAAATACATAACGTGTGAACATAAAATGATTTTTTTTTGAGATGGGGTCTTGCTCCGCTGCCCAGGCTAGAGTGCAATGGCAAAATCTCGGCTCACTGCAACCTCCGCCTCCAGGTTCCAACGATTCTCCTGCCTCAGATTCCCAGGTAGCTGGGATTACAGGCGTATGCCACCATGCCTGGCTAACGTTTTTACTTTTAGCAGAGATGGGGTGTCACTATGTGGGCCAAGCTGGTCTCAAACTCTTGACCTCGTGATCCACCCACCTCGGCCTCCCAAAGTGCTGGGATTACAGGCATGAACCACTGCACCCAGCCACATAAAATATTTTTTAAGAAACAAGCTAGCACTTTAGAGTCTAGATCACATCCTTTGAATACTCTGAATAAAGGCAACTTTTTATCTTTTGAAATTGGATTTAAGGGATTGAGAGATGAAGACAAGAGTCTGACAGTTTCATGTAGCATTAACTTAGAACTGTCTAAACTACTGCAAATATTCTTTACTTGAGTGCCAGAGAAGCAATAATGCAGAATACAAAAATCAGATGAAAGATAAAAACCATTTCTTTTCTTGTTGTTGTTTTGGTTTTTTGTTTGTTTGTTTGTTTGAGAAGGAGTCTAGCTCTGTCACCCAGGCTAGAGTGCAGGGGTGCGATCTCAGCTCACTGCAACCCCTGCCTCTCCGGTTCAAGCCAATTCTTCTGCCTCAGCCTCCCGAGTAGCTGGGACTATAGGCACCTGCCACCACACCTGGCTAATTGTTTTGTATTTTTAGTAGAGATGGGGTTTCACCATGTTAGCCAGGATGGTCTCGATCTCCTGACCTCATGATCCACCCGCCTCGGTCTCCCAAAGTGCTGGGATTACAGGCGTAAGCCACTGTGCCCAGCCCAAAAATAGAACTTTTTTAAAAAATAGAACATTTTTAAACCTGCCCAAACAATCTCAAAGCAATCCTTTTCCCTCAAAATACTTTAATGAGCTTATATTTTTCTATATGGCATATAGAAAGGTGTGTAAAATTTCTAGCTTATAGAATTACTGTAAAGGGAATGTCCATGTAGTCACCATATAATTAACTAAATAGAGAATATACTGAGTCTCCACTTGCCAGCCTCCAAGATAAGAATCAGCTACTGACCTGATTTTTGAGATTATCAACATAACTCTTTCTATATACATATCAAATTATGATTTACTTTAATCTGTTTTTAAACAACATACAAATGGAAGAATGCCGTATTTTTAAAAATTTTGTACCTGGATTCACTCATTCAAAATTATATCTGTAAGAATCAACCATGTTGTGTGTAGCCATATAGTTCATTCATTCTCATTATTGTATACTGTTCCACCATATTAATAAACCAAAATGTATTCATTTCTCTGTTAATGGATATTTGGGTTGTTTCCAGTTTGAAGCTTTTGCAAATGATGCTACTATATTATTGTATGTACTTC